CACACACACACACACACACACACACACATAGGATTTTTTTAATGTTTCTGAAAGAAGTCTCTTCTGCTCACCAAGGCTGCATTTATTTGATCAAAAATACTGTAAAAATTTGAAAAAATGTCTAATTCCAAAAAGCTGTTTTCTGTGTGAATCTCTGTTAAACTGTAATGTATTTCTGTGATGCGCAGCTGTATTTTCAGCATCATTCCTCCAGTCTTCAGTGTCACATGATCTTCAGAAATCAGTATAATATGCTGATCTGCTGCTCGAGAAACATTTCTGATTATTATCAATGTTGAAAACAGTGCTGCACAATATTTGTGTGGAAACCGTGATACATTTTATATTTCAGGATTCACAGATGAACAGAAAGTTCAAAAGAACAGCATTACAGTTTTTTTACAATCATTTTGTCACCAATTTCAGATCCTTGATGTCATTTTTCAAAACTCTAGGCACAAAACTCAAAACAGTCATCATTTGAAACACACGCTGTCCAATGTTCAAAACTTTGTATATTGCTTTCATATCTTTAAAGAAGCCTTGCATTTGCAAAAGCACTGGTTAAAAAAAACTCATTTATTATGAAATATCATAGGAACATTACTTTAGATCACCCACACACACGATACCCATGGTTTCACCGTGTAGTTTTTACTACAATCATTAAATATAGCTGTTCAAAACACATGATGCAGCTTTCATTATGGTTCTACACATTCATACACCATTGTAATAGACTAGAGAGAAAAGTACAGACACTGGAATCACTAAACAAAACGTGAAAATTATTGATGAAATTAACAACTCAAAACAGGTTTTTCTAAAATCTTTGAAACTGATCATACCTGACCATACTCAGTGCTCAGTTGCTTTACTTTCATAATCTAGACATTTAATATTGTTCATTCTATGCTTCAAGAGTAATGCAACAGTTAAGTAGCATTTTGAACGGTTGTATCAATTGATAGTTAGATCATTGTAAGGAAATTAATAGACACTCAATTCAGATGTGATGCGTGAGCTGCATTTTGAAATAGTAATACTTTGATGTTAAGTTGTCAATAAAAGTAATTGTAACTTTTGAAATACAGTGTTTTTAATTCTATTCATCTTTTCAGTGATGGACGAACTGTGGCAATCAAGAAAATAAAAACGAAAACATTTTCCCTCTCGAAGACGATTCGCCAAGAAGTGAAGCAAGTCAGGTGAGAATGAGGCGAACACGTCACCCTCCTCCTCCTCCTCCTCTTCCTCAAGATCATCGGTGCGATCCACACATTTGTGTTTGTCTTCAGGGAGCTGGATCATCCCAACCTCTGTAAGTTCTTTGGAGGTTGTGTGGAGGTGCCCAACATTGCCATAATAACAGAGTACTGCCCTAAAGGAAGTCTGAACGACGTCCTGCTGAACGACGAGATTCCCTTGAACTGGGGCTTCAGGTTCACACATGCACACACACACACACACACACACACACTCACACACACAGACACACACACACACACTCACACACACAGAAACACACACACACACACTCACACATACACATACACGCTCACACTGTCATTAGAAATTGATTCAATATTCTTTTTTTGCGTACAGTAGGCAGCCATTTTTGCTGTCCGACTCTCTTACCATTAGGCCACGGCTGCCCCAAACTTCAGATATAAATTACACAGTAAATGCACTGAATGTCAGTGTTTCTGTCTGTTTGCAGGTTCTCCTTCGCCACAGATATCGCTCGTGGGATGTCGTACCTGCATCAGTTTAAGATCTGCCACGGACGACTGAAATCAGCCAACTGTGTGATTGATGGTACATTTTACTCCAATAATCTTTGTTTTATTTACAATTTGGAAAAATCTTTTTTTTACAGTTTGCACCTGGGGAAAAAAAGATGAAAATGCTAGTAAATTTCACAAATAATTACAAAGAGACAGCAAGTAACACACTGAATTAAACATAGAAAGACTGAAATAGTATTTTCTTGTAAAACGTACTCCAGTAATTTTAGAAATCTGTTTTAATTGCAACTTAGAAAATCATTTTTTACAGTTTACAAAATGAAGGCTTGTAGTTTAATCAATTAATTGTAGGTTTATATTATATTATATTATATGGGCTCCAATGTAAATGTGAAGTTGAACAAAAAGATACATATTTTAGATTTTTAAAATATTATTATTTTCACAGTGTTAAAAAAATCACATGGGCCTATTTAATTATATGTTTCCAGTTAAATATAAAAAATATATAGTGTATTTGGATTGCATGAGCAAAATAGACAATTAAATCATTAATCACAATAGTTTGCATGATAAGTAATCGTCAGCACGAAAGTTATGATTCTGACAGGCCTAGTCTGTGTTATTTTAGAATAATTGAGATGCATTTATAGTTTTTATTAGTATTTTAAATCAGATTTGTTAGATTATATTTTCTGTTTTAACTTTTATTTTAGTTGAGTAAACTTTAAGTTTGAGTAATTTTGTTGTGTGTTTTTGTCATTTTTATTGTTATTAATTTAAATATTATTATTATTAATTTGTTTTTATTTTGTAATTTTTTTGTTAAACCAAATAAGAATGTTGCCTTGGCAATTATCTGAAATAACTTAGTTTATGTTTTTTATATTTTATATCATGTTAATGTCTATTTTATTTCGAGTAACAGTAATGTGTTTTTTCCGTCCGTGTGTGAGGCTGAGGACAGCTCTCTGGAGTGCGGCTGGTGTCCTCCGCTGCCGGAGCTGATTTCAGGGAAAGCCGACAGCACCTGCCCCTGTCCTGCTGAATACGCTGAGGTCTGTCAACCCCTCGGCTCTCAATGCATCGTGTTTCCTTCTTGAGCATCAGTGAATGTTTGCAGCTTCTGTAATAGTTGTGTTTGAGTCCTTCAGTCATCCTCAGTGTGAAAAGATGGATCTCAGAATCATACAGTCACCATTTAAAGAGCTTCAAAGCATCAACGGCACACCTGATCTCATGAAAATAATCTTGGTATGTGTTGTGGATTCAGCCGTATGAATGTCTCTCCTCCTGTTTGTCATCCTCTCGTCCTGTCAGCTGATTCGCCGATGCCGTGGTCATAACCCCACCCACCGGCCCACCTTTGAGCAGATCCGCAAGTTTGTCAACAGAATCAACCCGCACAAAGTCAGTCCTGTAGACATGATGATGGAGCTGGTCAGTCCAACACACACACACACACACACACACACTCTCTCTCTCTCTCTCTCTCTCTCTCACACACACACACACACACACACACACACACACACTCTCTCTCTCTCTCTCTCTCTCTCTCTCACACACACACACACACACACACACACTCACACATA